TTATATATTCCGTTTCATAATTTTATGAAAAAAAAAAAAAAAAAAAAAAAAAAAAAAAATAAAAACATATTCTTATGCTTAAAATAAATAATTGTATCAAAAAACGATTCATTATCGTTCGATCACATTCCCTTATCATCTTTCATTTCCTATTATGAATGGGAAAAGAAATCGCCATTAATGGAGATAAAAGGAACGTATTTTTTCGCGTTAGCTATGGGTGAATCTTTCGACATTACAGTACTGATGGCACAGAAGGTAACAAATGCCTGTCGAACGTGTGACAGTGGTTTGCTCCATCGCTGTTGCAACGGCCAACACTTTATCGTATTTCGTTCTTTTTTTAGCTGTGGCCCTTTCATCGTCGCGAAAACATGCCTCGTTGTTTGATCAAATCGATGACAAGGTATAGGAAGACCGATAATTCTTCCGAAGGTAAGACACAATTCTCTTGTGCACAGTATAGCTACAGTATGCTCAGGGACGACAGTGAAATTTTGGCGTGGTTATGGAAAAAAAAGTACAACTCGTAAAGTTGTTGGAGTAAATGAATCTTGTTTTTATGACGAATCTTACGTCTCCTTTCCAGCCACGATACCGTTTAATCATAATTAAGCGATTTGAAAATATGACGCGTATAATTCGTTCGAAAAAGAAGAAAAAAAAATGAAATGATTTTCTCTCCTAATTAGTTGAGGCAGAATTACCATGGACTCCGCCATCGTCGGTCGACGCGAAGAGAAAACATCAGATTAAAGACAATTCCACGAAATGTAATAATATATGGACCTCCTCGAGATTACCAATTGTAACACGTTACACCTTCAATAAAGAGAACAACATATTTTGGAACAAGGAGTTGAATATAGCAGACGTGGAATTAGGCTCGAGAAATTTTTCCGAAATTGAAAATACGATACCGTCGACCACTCCAAATATTTCTGTGAATACCAATCAGACAATGGTGGACACGAACAATGAACAAAAAGTGGAAAAAGTGCAAATACCATTGCCCTCGAACGCGAAAAAAGTAGAGTATCCGGTAAACGTGAGTAATAACGAGATCAAGGTGGCTGTGAATTTAAATAGGATGTTCGATGGGACTGAGAATCAGACGACCTCGCAAACTTTGTATATTGCTACGAATAAAAAACAGATTGATTCCCAGAATCAATATTTAGGAGGGAATATGAAAACTACGGGGGTAGAGAATCCTCAGAATTGGAAGAGAAATAAAACTATGCATTATTGCCCTTATTGTCGCAAGAGTTTCGATCGTCCATGGGTTTTGAAGGGTCATCTGCGTCTTCACACGGGTGAACGACCTTTTGAATGTCCGGTCTGCCATAAATCCTTTGCCGATCGGTATATTTCTTCTTTTAGTTTTATATTTTTTTGTATATCACATATACGAGTTATGAATAATAACAAAATTTCTTTGAATTTTGTGAATGAATATATGATCAAAATTTTTCATTGAAACATTTGGAAACAAAAAAATGATAATTAAATATCGTAATTGTACGATTGCAATATATAATATATTAATACCTATTTTATTTTATACATACCTATTTTATTTATTTTCTTTACCAAATTATAAGATTAATTTTACTGAGTTAATTATTTTACGATGTTTGAATTAATTAGTGGGTACAAGACTATGGTGTAACGTACATATTTTGTAGATCAAATTTACGTGCGCATCAAAGGACTCGAAATCACCATCAATGGCAATGGCGATGCGGGGAATGTTTCAAAGCATTCTCGCAAAGACGATATTTGGAACGACATTGTCCCGAAGCTTGTAGAAAATATCGAATATCTCAAAGGAGGGAACAGAATTGTAGTTAGAAGGCAAATTTTATTTCTTTAGTATAAACATATTTTTATATTGAAATATCTAATGTAATATATTAAATGTATTTCGTTAATTAACACTGTAAAATTTGAATTCGAAATATCACTGTATTGTTATTCTAATATACATATATATATGTGCACATTATACTATAAAATTATCTATATTATACTATAAAATCGTATAAAATTATACTATAAAATTACTTTCTCACCTTTTTTTCATGCTGTTGATTTTATATTAAATTTGTATATTCTAATTGCTAAAATTATTGAGCAATATATATGATATAAATTCATTGTTCTTTTCCATAAATAATAATGATTCGATTATAATGTCGAAAGAAATATTTGAATCATGGAACGGATAAAACACTGATATAAATTCGAATACTTTTATGATTTTTGTTTCATTAACTATATTTTATATGAAATTAATAAATATTAATTATTCTAAAATTTTTACTTTTTTATGTAATAGAATTAGTGAAACAGTTAACATAATAGTAAATACGTTAATATACGTTCGAAAATATTCAGAATATTTTGAAAATACGCCTTAAAGCGCACAATTAAGTGTAGTTATCAATAGAGTGCGCGCAATAATGTAACGGTTTCTGATCTGAGTGTTTTTAATCTTTCATGGCGCATGTCGTGTACGTTCAACGAAGAATAATTATCGCTCGCATTTGACGCAGTGCGTTAGTCTCATATTACAAACGGAAAAGAACGTAATATAGTGCCGCGTATTACGCGATACGCTTTCCGAGCAAGTAATCCGTGTTAGTGCTCCGTAAAAAAGAACGCGGCGGTTAAGCACTGCAAAGAAAACTTGACATTGGAACGGCCATTTTGGCGTGTTGTTTCCTAATCGAGTGCTCAGCTCAGCATCGATATCCATCCATTTCAAGGTAAGTTTCTTAGTAGTTGTAGACATTTTGTTAAACGAATGATCTCATATTTAAAAAAATTTCATTTTTCATTCAATCGTGTATGTTTATTCAAAGAATTTTAAACTTATGCTATAGAAAGGAAAATTGACTTTACACAGATGGTTTTATTCTGTACTCTGTTTTTCATCCAGTTCACAAGTATGTCTGACGATAGTACCGCGATGTCTCAACATCGATTAAACCAATTTTATTAATATAGCAAAAACATATCCTATAAACAATGTGTAATTAATATTAATATTATAATAAAAAAACTTCTTTTTTTGTTGATTTGTACGTATAAATATATATATATATAATAATCAAAAATATTACCAATATCTTAGGCGGTAGAATTTTCAAATAAGCGAATTGTTCTCATTTTTATTGATATAATATATTTGATAATTTTTATATTATTTATTTTATAAATAATATTTTTTATTTTAATTTCTGTCTCTTCTGTTAAAAGTTATATAAAGATTATGAAATATATTGCAATCAGTATGTATTATTGCAATCTATATTAATTGTTTTTTTTTTAATCCAAATATTATATTTATAATTTTTAAGAATTTCTCTTTAAAAATGTTGTATTTTAATTCATGAATTTATTTTCATGTTAATTTTATTATATATCATATTCTAATGTATACATATCTATATGATATGAAATCAATATAAATATATTATAATATATTCTTCCAAATTCGAAGTTTTTCTGAACAATATCAGTAACCAATATCGAACTGTTAAAATTTCTTATAAGGTTCAAATACATAAAAACTGCTATTCTTCAAATGAGTATACCTATGATGTTTACATCCTATTGTGATCTTTTCAGCAGGTCACTTATACTGATATTGTCTTTTGTTCTATAGAGATATAACTGTTTGATTTCAATTCATCCAATATTTGCAAATTTAAATAATTTCTTTTATTATTTAATGTAATGATTATTTAATATTTTTAAATAACTAATTTATTTCAATTGCATAAAAATTATAGTATTTTTAAATTATAAAAAAATATATGAATTTAATTAATTTAAATAGTACATATATTTCATTTATGAAGAAAAATATATTTTCAGGAAATAGATAATATTTCATCATTTTCAAAATGATGACAGAAACACATATAAATTCCAATCATGTCCTAAATTCTGGTTTGAATACTAAATCAGAAATCGACAAAATGGACGATGTGGGTTGGAAAGCTAAATTAAAAATTCCACCAAAGGACAAACGAATTAAAACTAGTGTAAGTTATATTATGATAATTTCTACTTTATTTTATTTTTGATTAAAAATTGATTCAATTATTTCAATTATACATATATATATACATATCATGTTATATTTAAATTATTAATAAAATATGGTTTTTACAAACCATTAGGATGTTACTGATACTCGTGGCAATGAATTTGAAGAATTTTGCCTAAAACGAGAATTATTAATGGGCATCTTTGAAAAAGGCTGGGAAAAGCCTTCCCCAATTCAAGAAGCCAGTATTCCCATTGCATTATCTGGTAAAGATATCTTGGCCCGTGCAAAAAATGGGACTGGTAAAACTGGGGCCTATTCAATTCCAGTGCTAGAACAGGTTTGTATGTTATTAATTTTTCTAGTATCATTAATTCTATTATTAAAATTGAAAATATATTTATATTATATAAATGTTTACATTGATAAGTATTATTTTATTATATTAATATATTGCTATTAATAACATGTTATTTTAGGTTGATCCACGAAAAGATGTGATTCAGGCACTAGTACTTGTACCTACTAGAGAGTTAGCTCTTCAAACATCACAAATTTGCATTGAACTGGCAAAACACATGGAAATAAAAGTAATGGTAACTACTGGAGGAACAGACTTACGGGATGATATTATGAGGATTTACCAGTCAGGTATTGGATGTATCTTTATATAAGAACTAATTATAACAATTGAATTTTAAAAATAGTTCACTTATGATGTAATTTGTTTCTAGTGCAAGTAATAATAGCAACCCCAGGAAGAATTCTCGATCTTATGGATAAGAATGTTGCAAATATGGATCATTGTAAAACTCTAGTTTTGGATGAAGCAGATAAACTTCTGTCACAAGATTTTAAAGGAATGTTGGATCATGTCATTTCAAGGTATAACTATTAATATAAAATTACACAAATTATATTTTTTTAATTTTGTGCATATATAGTATTTTATAGTATTTTAACTTTTAATTGTTATATATTTAGATTACCACACGAACGTCAGATACTGCTGTATTCAGCCACATTTCCCCTGACAGTGAAACAATTCATGGAAAAACATTTAAGAGATCCATATGAGATTAATTTAATGGAGGAACTCACATTGAAAGGTGTAACACAATATTATGCCTTTGTACAAGAACGACAAAAAGTTCATTGTCTTAACACACTGTTTTCCAAGGTAAAATTATTTTCTTTTTAGATATATATAATCCATATAATAGGCAAATTTTATTTAAATACATTATATTTTTATCAAATGTTTTTATTTAATTTATTTTTTTATTCTTCAAGTTGCAAATAACACAAAGTATAATATTCTGCAATTCAACACAACGTGTTGAGTTACTTGCAAAGAAAATAACAGATCTTGGATATTGCTGTTATTATATACACGCGAAAATGGCGCAGGCACACCGAAATCGCGTGTTTCACGATTTCCGAGCAGGACTTTGCAGAAACTTGGTAAGTATAATATTTTATCAAAATTTGATTACGATATTTTATTTTTAACTTATAATATATACATATATATTAATTATATATGTATCATTTATAGGTGAGCAGTGATCTGTTTACTCGTGGTATTGACGTTCAAGCCGTGAACGTCGTAATCAATTTTGACTTTCCAAAAATGGCAGAGACATACCTTCATCGTATCGGCCGATCAGGACGATTCGGTCACTTAGGTATAGCAATTAACCTAATCACATACGAGGACCGTTTTAACTTACATCGTATCGAACAAGAACTTGGAACAGAAATTAAACCTATTCCAAAGGTAATAGATCCAAGTTTGTATGTAGCAAGACCAGAAGACAATAATAGCATGGAAGAGGGTAACGTGTCTAAGTAGTTTCGATACATCGTCACGATGTTTTACATGCGCTCAAAGAGTTTAAAGTGTTAAATGGTGATTGTGTGACTCGTACATGTAAGGCATACATTGCTATGCTTTGAACTCACAGAGTGAAACGTTATCTCAGTTTGAAAAGTATTGTCTGGGGTGTTTAACAGTGTATAAAGACAAAACAGTGCTATGAACATTTAGATAAAAAAAAAAAAGTGGTCTATATAGAAAAAAATTGAAAATTTCAATCAACATCATAGTAAAACAGCGAAAATATGAATTACTTGTAAATAAGGCATACTGAGTATGAAACAATGAACTCAGTGAATGAAGTGATGCGAATGCCGGTGCGAGTCATTCTTTGTACATAAATACATATAAATGTACATAATCTAAAGTGCGCGCCAGAGTCAAGCCATTATCAAGAGCACAACATGTAAACAATTAACATAATAATCATTACATTTTACCACAAACTGTAAATATTACATGTGAGTATCTATCATTTTAATAGTAAATTTTTATACAATGGCTTCATACTTCCAAGATTTTTTGTTCTTTAAAAAAAAAAAAAAAAATGTGATGGGATGTGTGATTTAGAAGGAAACAGCATAATGAGAGTAAACTTGTAGTTGAATGCTGTTTATATCTGAATACCATAAATTAATCCATATGCCCATTACTTTTGCATCACCATATTTTACATATAAATTCTCCTTAAATACAATATAATACGATCACAAATTCTAAATATTGTATCGATCTTAATGTTTGATCATGGCTTGATTTTGCTACCTGTCAATGCTGTCATACAACTCTGAAATTCAAATCACTTTTCAAAAAAGGCAAGATTATCTTTTCTTTCTGTAAAGTGGTAATAGAGACTTTTTTTAACTTAATCCGATTTTTTTACGAAATTGTGATTGAGCGTCAGAGATTGTAAAATTGACTAGTTTTATATAATTATTTTTTATAAATAACTGGCTGGTGGCATTTATCGAAGTTAGGGATTCGATGTATGATGTCTATTGAATATTTATGTGTCTATTGTAATTCAAAATCGTTCCACCAATTAATGTATGAGTAATGAAATTATCTAGCAAAGATTATTTGTTACATTTAAGACACATTTTAGGTAAAATCTATGAATATAAGCAAAAAAAATGTACATAATATAGCATAATAATAATATATCATTTTCTGCAACAGATAAAAATAACTGCCAAAATATAATAGAACATCATCGTGGAATCCCTTTTTATTCTTGGTTGTTCTCTTTGATATCTATGTACACATTAATCGTATAAGAAGCAAAAAAAAAAAAAATATAGAAGCATGTAAAAAATCATTTTCCGTAAAATAATTTGTATTGTTAATATTCTCCTATGAACAAAAAGAAGTGTACCACCAGCCAAGACGACCTAGGTTTATGGAACGAAATGTGTATACATTAATAGGCAATAGTAGAATATTTCATATTTGAAGCAAAAAATTTCAATGAGATATATTAATGAGAAAAAGATGATGGAAAACGGTTTGGAATGCTTTTAAACTTATAATATCAGTTTTGGCGGATATTTTGCTTTAACGATAAGGAAACAAGAGAGATGTCTTATGACTTATGATTAAGGACTTGACAGTTGCAAGGACAGAAAGTATAAAGATGTAAAGTACTTGAAATTTCTCTTCGATATAAATGTGGAACTAAAACATAATTTCGAATATTCATTTGGTAACACATAACAGATACATGTTTTTGATACGCGTAAATCTACGAGAAACAAAATATTTATTAACTTTTGAATCTATATAGTTCCATAGTAAAAAGAAAAAAAAAAAATCACTAAACAATATCAAATTATAAAATTCAATTCAATATCATAGAATTATGCTTATTAACTTAAAAACTTTGACTTTTTAATTTATTTCGTATAGATGACATATTTAAATATAATCATAATAAACACGAATATCTGATACAAGGGTTCTACGTACTGACTTGTATGCATATCAAAATGATAAAACGTGAAATTTTTTTCAACCTTCATTTTTATTACCCACCAAGCATGTTTTTAGTATACGAGTAGTATATAATGTGGGTTTTGCACAAACAAAAAGAAGAAAAAACATTTTATATAATTCTATTCTATTTAAAAAAGAAAAAAGAAAAAAAAAAGAACGAATGATATGCTGTGAAAATAAAAAAAATTATTAATTATCTGACGTATTGAAGTTCCTCTCTTGTGTCCGCTATCCGAGCATTAATGCTGTGATTTAGTATTATGGTATTAAACGCATTTAAAACCGTTTTTCCGTGCTGACACAAATTATAATTTGATACGTACGACGTTTCAATATTGGAAACACGCCTGTAAAAGCGCGTACCAACGTGCAGCAGCATTGTCAATCGATTTACACTTTTTTGCCAGTTTGAGAACGAATGTGATTTGAGAAACTCGTCGATTGTAAAGGATATCTCGAAAACAATTGATTATATAGGCGCGCATCGTATCGTTGCAAGGATCAAATATTATTGATGCCTTGGAATGATAGGAAAAAAAGCCTTGATGGAATGGAAAATCAATGTGCAAAACATTCTTTACTACGTTTGGGATATAAATTCCAAAGTGGGGAGAAAAAAAAAATAGTTAAACAAAAATTGGCGGTGATTTATCGAGATAATTACGTAAGCGTTGTATTTATAACAGTTTAGAGAGAAACACTTGCATAGTGTTTTTTCATCGTGGCTCTATCTTTTTACCGATTATACGTTTCCCTTCTCCCCTCTTCTCCCCC